GTTTTGGAGGGGGAGGGGTTGGAGCGGCGAGAGAAATGTGGCACGCGCATTACGTGCCACTCACAACAGATGGGTCGGACGGCAATGCTCACAATTTTCTATCGGCTGGTTTCTATCAGGAGTCCTTAATCAATGCGCCCATCTCTCCGCCATAGTCAGTGCAGAAACGCGATGCTCTCATTCTTACTGGCAATCTATACGGCATTAAAATAGGTGGAATGGGAGAAATCCATATGGCAATCCGTACGGCTTTCGACGGGGCAGGCGGACAGGAGGGTTGCTTGCCTAGGTGGAGATTGATGGAAGGAACTGGGTTGGCTGGCTGGGGCACGTCAACCTGGGCTCGACATGGGTCATTGTTGATGGCTCAAGATAAGTGTTTCCGTTATAAGCTCAAGTGGAGGTGCCATGGGTGGTGGCGATAGTGACCTAAGATAGGTCTGAATGTCGGTTTGAAGCATCATCAGGGTTTGGGCCAATTCTGTACAAAGTGTTACTTTTGGCGAAATGAAATTGTGTTCGCCTGGCTCTCCTTGTTTTGGCGCAATGCTGGATCGCAGGGGAAAGGCTGACACTAACAGAGAACTCGTTTCTCTATTTTCAAGCAGGCGCCGAATATGTTCATGTCGAAACGAACTACAGCTGTTTTCTGCCGCGGAAGCCTTACCACGCGAGCTTTTCGGTTCTAAGGAGCTATCTCCTCCATTCTCACTCTTGCCTTATTTCTCCTATTCATTAACCTGAAGCCGATTCTCACCCCCCACCTTCCACCTTCTCCCCCTCCTCCCTCCTTCCCTCCCCTTTTGCCCGCTCCCCCCATCCCCTCCTTGCATACCCTTCCCAAACCTCCCATCCTCCCCATCCCCCAGCCGACCCAGAAGCAACGCAATCTCCCTGCTCCTAGCGGCACCAGCAGAGGGCGGCTCTCTCGCCTCCACTGCATCCGCGCGCAAGGACTCACATCACATACTACCTCGCCCTCCCCTCCGCACTCTCCGCCCCTCCCGCCGTGCGCATCGCCAAGCTCGCAGAGGCTGGGCGCTGTCTGCTGGCGGCTCTACTGGCAGCGCTGCCTCTCTCGCTTGAAAAAGCAGCGGCCGAGGCGTTTGCTTTGCTTGATAACAGCCAACCAGTGAGTTCAACTTGGGAGGAAGAGAGGGCGAGAGGGGAGGGGAAGCGTGGGGCATTTGGAGGATGGGTTCGAATCCTGGTGGTTCACTTCAACCTGCCTTTCTCCCCTACCCTCTCCCCTGTCTTCTCATCTCACTTAGTCATGCACCCGTCTCCCTCTCCTCTTCCTCGACCGCATTCTGTTCTACATCCCCGCCCTTGTTCTCCTCCTCCCTGCCCACATTTCACAAGTCTTGGCACAATACCCCCAATCTCCCCCTTTCTTCCGCCTTCCAGGATCAAGGCACAGTAGGTTCCTTCTCTTTCACTCGTTTGTTCCGGTCGCATTGGCTGTTTGCATGTCAACGTGCCGCTCATCCAGGTACCTGCCTGTTCCACGTGTTTCCTTGCCCATAATGCCTCCGCCCATGTCCCCTCCTCCTCCTCTTCCTCCTCCTATCCAGCAGCACCCATGTCTGGTGACTCATACCAGGCTCCAGCAGTGCGCTGCCAGCAGTATGGTAGCAGCTGTAGCAGCAGATTCAACAAGTGCTGATGGTGCAGCAGCAGAACGGCCATGGTGAAGCAGCATTGCCAGCAGTGGGGAGCGAGTGGTTGAGGAGAGTCTGTGAGGATCAAGGTACAAAATACGGCCATTTTTTCATTTTCAGGCCGTATGGTACGGTACCTTACGATACGGCCGTTTAATTCGGAAAAAAATGATAGGTGTAATGTGGATTTTTTTTGTGCAAAAATACGGTCGTTTTTTACGACCGGTTTTTTAGTTCCATCATGTACATGTTTCAATCTCGAATTCGAAACACATTTCGATGGTTGAGTGTACACCCATCCGTCGGCAAATTTGAAGTCAATGAGTTCCCGAGGCGCGCGAGCGACACACAACCGGGCCGTGCATTTCAGGGGTTTCGCGAAGCCCGTTGCGAAACATTTGTCCGTTGCGCAACGGGTCTCATAGATATTTCGCGCCCAGTAGCGTGCATCGCGCATTTCGTGGCGCACACTACTGAGGCGCATTTCGATTTCGAAATCCCTCCCCTACCCACCCAATCTTGCCTTCAACTTTCCACCCAACATCTGCATGACGAAATACAAATACAGAGCACCAACAGAGAGGTAAGAATCAGAGTTTTTTTCAAGTAGAATTAGGTTCCTAAGTTCGCGCAGCCTCCTTTCAGGCTCTCCACCCCGCCGATTTCTAGAGTTCGATCATCCGCATCGCAACTATAGCCTTGTGCAAATAATCCTAGGTTCGCCCGCTCGCGTTTCAGCCATGCCCCGCACCCCGTCGAGTATGTGGGAGCATGTGACGAAATTATGTGACGAGCAAGGTGCAAAAATACGGACGTTTCTTCTTTTTTTTTGCCGTATTATACGGAATCGTATGATACGGTCATATAAAACGGTTTAAAACGGTCAAAAGCTGTGTTTTTTGGTTGGTGCAAAAATACGGTCGAAAAATACGACCGTATTTTTCGAACCAACCAATATTTGCATGCTTAGGGCTTGTAACGAAATCGCAATGTGGGTTGGTTGGATCTAAAATGTTTGTCAGGTTGAAGTGATGGTTTTTCGCCGAGGCGCGATCCCAACATTTTGTCGAGTCGCCTGATGCCAACATTTGACGAAGAGAGAACGGGCTGTACACCCGTTTCGCCTGTGTCGTTGGGTTGCTTCCCGCCCTGTAGACTCAATTTTCGCGGGCCAAGCGACCTCCCCAAAAATTCGCGTGTCGCAAATTCGAATCGTGACCAATCACACTTGGTCATTTGCGATCCCTACCAACAAGGTCTTTCCACGTCGCTCAAGAATGCAGGTTGGCCACCAGGTACAAATTTGGAGCACTTCCAGAAAGGTGAGCACAGTCTTGTACGCAGCTCACCTCGCACGATCGAATCCACCGCACGATTTTCTCAGCTACTGGCGTTACTGTGTATGCCATGCCTAGGAAGCTATCCGATATTTGGGAGCATGTTAAGAAGGTGAAGGAGCCGAACGGCCTTGTTATTAGCACAGTTTGCATTCATTGTGGCTCTAGTGTCACTCCAAACGCGACCAGGATAGGGCAGCATATCTATGGCACCCCTAGCTCGATGGAGAAGAATGTCTCCACTTGCCCGTCGGACTACGCGAAGCAGCTGCGTGAGAGCAACCAAGAAGAACGTTCCACGTCCCCTGACGGCACGCAAGGACGAGCTTCGTCCTCGACGGTGCACGCTGCCCCGCGCTCGCGTCAGCAAGACATTCGCGAGCTAGCTGATGTGGCTGGCCGCCAGCGGTTGGATTATCTTTGGGCGACAGTGGTCGCTGAAAACGACCTCGCGTTTTGGACATCACAGTCGCCGGCCTTGCATGCCTTTGTCAACGCGGCAGTCCAGTTTGGGAAGCCGTACAAGCTTCCATCCGCGTACAAGGTCAGCGGGCCGCTGCTCGCGAAACTCAAGACCGACACGGAGGAGTTGCTGCAGCCGCTGAAGGACACGTGGAGGACCAGTGGCGTTTCTCTTACCGTCGACGGCTGGTCCTGCCTTAAGAGTCGCGGATTCGTGGGCGTAATCGCTCAGAACGATACGGCACCCGTAGTCGTCGACGTCGTCGACTCCAAAACCGCGAAAAAGACGGGGAGCTACCTCGCAGAGCTTATTCGACGCTCGATCTGCAACGTGGGGGACCGGCTCGTCATCCAGGTGGTCATGGATAACGCCTCCAACAACAAGAAGGTGGGGGCGTTGTTGAAGGAGGGGTACCCGCAAATCTTCTACACCAACTACGCCGCCCATTGCCTCGACTTAATGCTGCACGACGTAGGAGCAATCCGCGCCGTGCAGCGCATCCTCGGGCAGGTGCACAGGGTGGTGATGATGGTGAAGAAGTCAGCCTCCGCGGTCACTTTGTTCCGCGAGGTCTTCAGCTCCTTGGAGCTTATGTGCCCGGGAGCTACACGTTTCGGGACGCAAGTGCTGATGATCGGGCGCTTCCTCGAAGTGAAGAAGGCCCTGCGGGAGATGGTGATCAGCGATGCATGGGAGGAGGTGCCAGTTTCCCGCACGGAGGAGGGGAAAGCAATTCGCAGCCTCCTCCTCGAGGACGTTTTCTGGGAAAGCGTCGCCGTGGTGCTCAAGCTCATGACACCCATCTACGAGGTCCTGAGGCGGGTCGACAAGCGATGTCTCCTCATGGGCCAGTTCTATGGCCTCATGCTGGAGGCCACTGTCAAGACCACCGACGCGGCAGAGGCGGCAGGTAAGCCAACCTCTTGCTTGCCCATTTCCCCCCCCGGCGTGCGAGCGGCACTCATGTGTCATTCCCATGGGCGTTCTTAGCTGTACCTAATCTCACCCTCCCTCGGCACGTCTGCTCCCCGTGCAGCCGCCTTCTTTGTCAAGCGGACGGCGTTGCTCGAGGCGAAGGACAAGGCGAGTTTCCTCGTCACGGTGAAGAAGATCATCGCCAACCGCTGGGATGGTCAACTGCACAACCCGCTCCACGCTGCGGGGTGGCTCCTGAATCCCCGCAACCAGTACGTGGGGGAGGTGCGGAACGACCCTGAGGTGAGGCAGGGGGCAGAGGAGGTGTTTTTGGCGAGGGGAGGGGATGTACCTCGGCGCACCATGCTCGCGGCTCAGCTGGGCACCTTCCACAAGGGGGAGGGCCGCCTGGGATCCGTGGAGGCCCGTTGGGCAGCGACGGCTCTGGTGGAGAGCGGGCGGCTCTCCGACGCCGAGTGGTGGTGGATGTACGGCGGCGAGGTGGCCGCCTTGCAGGAGCTGGCTGTAATGATCTTGTCACAGCCAGTCACATCCTGCGAGGTTGAGCGCTACTGGTCGGCTCTGGCTCGTGTCCAAACGCGCGATCGCAACAGGCTGAACGCCTCCACCATGACGGACGTGACGTTTGTCGCGTTCGGCAGGCGGGCGCGAACAGCCTTTGACCAGAAGGTCGAGGCTCGAGCTCAGCTGTACGACGACCTCACCAATGGCACTCTGAAGGAGGGTGCCAACATCACCCCACCCCCCCGTGTGGAAGCCGAGGCCAACAAGGAGGTAGAGGAGGAGGTGTGTACCATCGACTGGGATGCCTTTGGCAACATCGGCGGGCGGAAGAAGAAGGCGGCATCCAAGGCTTGTGGCAAGAAGCGGGCCAAGAAGGGTAGGGGGTCCTGTAAGGGGAAGGAGAAAGTGGCCTACGATGAGGAGGAGGAGGAGGAGGAGGAGGAGGAGGAGGAGGAGGAGGAGGAGGAGGAGGAGGAGGAGGAGGAGGAGGAGGAGGAGGAGGAGGAGGAGGAGGAGGAGGAGGAGGAGGAGGAGGAGGAGGAGGAGGAGGAGGAGGAGGAGGAGGAGGAAGAGGAGGATGAGGAAGAGGAGGAGGATGAGGAGGGCGAGGAGGAGGGCGAGGACGAGGAGGAGGGCGAGGGCAGTGGATCAAAGGAGCCTCGCAAGAGGGCCAAGGGGAGCAACCCCTGGGATTGCAGCGATGGTGACAGTGGGGCGGATGAGGAGGAGGACGACGAGTAGTAGTGTGAGGAGGAGGTCGCGCCACGAGGAGGAGTAGGGGCCGGGGGAGTGGTACGCCGAAAAGGAGGGGGAGGAGGAGTAGGAGGTAGATTAAACGTACCTCTAGTCATGGTAGTTGACCACCTTAGCGTCGTGTCGTGCACCTTAGGCAAGTTGTACCGCATGTCTGCAATTTTTGAGATTTTTTTTTGTCGAAAATCCGTCTAATAAAAAAACGGCCGTATTTTTCAAAATACAACCGTATAAAACGAACCGAAAAAAACGACCGTATAATACGAAAACCGTATTTTTCCACCCTGCGAGCAAGGCAAGGCCGTCCGCGTCGAGTGCAACCATTGCCACATGAGCGTCACGGCAAATGCGACGCGGATCCGGGAGCATCTTTTCGGCACACCGGCATCCAAATTCCGGAACATTGCTGAGTGCAAGTCTGAATTTGCGAAGAATCTCCGCGTCAACGGTCAAAGCTCGACGACCACGGCCATGGTCCGCGGATCAACAGCCACCGTCGGGGGACCGGCGGGCAAGCGCAGTCGCAACCCCGACATCCGTGGCATGGTGGACAAGGCGGGCCGCGATGCCCTCGATCTCCTATGGGCGACGGCCGTGGTGGAGAACGACTTGGCCTTTCGGATTTGCGCGTAAGTGTGCTTCAACCATGCGATGCGACGTTTGCTTCTACAACAGCCCCACTCCCCCTCTTCACCCTCGCCATCTCTACCATGCATCGCCATAAGTGTTTCTCCCCTTATTCGCCATAGTTAGTTCTTTTGCCATCCCCGCTCCCCCTCCGCCCCTCAAACAGCTCACCCTCCATGCAAGCGTTTGTCGAGGGGGTTGTGGCGTACGGCAAGGAGTACAACTTGCCGAGCGCCTACTCGGTCTCCCACCCGCTCCTTGCTAAGCTTAAGGCCGAGACCGAGACCCTCATGCAGCCCCTCAAGGACTCATGGGCCTCGACCGGTTGCTCCTTATCCGTGGACGGGTGGTCGGACTTGAAGAGCCGCGGTCTCGTTTGTATCATAGCCATGAACGACACCGCGCCCGTGGTGGTCGACGTAGTTGACACAAAGACGAACAAGAACACAGGTGCCTACCTTGCAACACTCATTGGGGAGGCGATTTGCAAGGTGGATCACACTCGCGTTGTCCAAGTGGCGATGGACAACGCGAGCAACAATAAGAGGGCGGCCCTGGACCTTGGGGATAGATATCCTTCTGTTTTTTTCACCAATTGTGCGGCACACTGCTTGGATCTCATGTTGGAAGACCTCGGGAGTATTGGTGTGATAAAGCGGGTCTTGCAACAAGCTCACGGGGTGGTCATGCTTGTGAAGACGAGCGCCACCGCGGTCAACCTCTTTCGAGAGGTGTATAGCGAGCTTGAGCTTGTCCGACCGGGTGCCACTCGGTTTGGTACCCAAGTCATCATGGTGCAGCGGTTTTTGGAGGTAAAGAAGCAATTGAAAAGCATGGTCATCTCCGAGGAGTGGTTGGATGTGCTCGCCGCGAAAACCAAGGAGGGGCAGCACATCGCCCAGGTTCTCCTCGATGAGGCATTTTGGGGCTCGGTGGAAGCGGTCCTGAAATTGATGACCCCGGTGTACGAGGTCCTTCGGGCAACGGACAAGCGGACTCACCTCATGGGGCGAATTTATGGGATGATGCTCAACTCAGCGGCTGAGGCTGCAGGTTTGTTTCCCACCCCCTTCCGCCCTCCAAACCTAGCATTGTCCTCACCTCCCCTTGACTCTCTTGGTTGACTGTCCAACCCTCCCAATACCCCCCACTCACTTGGCCCATTTGTGCCTTGTGCTTGATAGGGCAGCCACATTTTTTGTGCGGCGGACGGGCTTGCTCTTGGCCAAGGACAAGGCCTCGTTCTTGGCCAAGGTAAGGCGGATTATAGCTCGGCGTTGGGACGCCCAGCTACATAACCCGTTGCATGCCGCTGGATATCTCCTTAACCCAGCCAATCAGTTTGCCGAGGAGGTTCGGGGCGACGACGAGATCGGGAAGGGGATGAAGAACGTGATTGACAAATGGGAGACGGATATGCAGCGCTGCACCCTCATCCACGCCCAGCTCGCCCGCTTCCATTGTGGGGAGGGGAGCTTGGGGGGCAAGGATGCTCGGTGGGCAACTTCCGCGCTTGTGGAGAGCGGGAAGCTCTCCGAGGCGGAGTGGTGGACCATCTTTGGGGGGGGAGTCCGAGCGCTGCAGGATCTGGCGGTCCGGATTCTCTCCCAATCAACAACGGCGTCAGAGGTAGAGCGTGCATGGTCGGCATTCAGCCGGGTGCAGCGGCGAGATCGTAACCGGCTGAAATCCGCCACCATGATCGACGTCACAGTGGTGGCGTTCAGCCGGCGATCCAGAGCTGCATTTGACAGGAAGCAAGCGGCCCGAGACCGCCTTTACGAACAACTCGGGGCGGGCATGGTGGAGGAAGGGAGCGCACCTCACCCCCCCCCTTGCTGCAGAACAGGGGGAGGGAGAAGGGGTGGGGGAGGAGGAGGTGATGGAGGAAGAGGAGGGTGCTGAGGAGCGCACCATTGACTGGGCCTCCTTTGGGAGCAGCGGCGAGAAGTAGAAGCGCAAGAGGAAGGCAGGAAACGGGAAGGGGGGGAAGAAAAACAGCGGTTCCCATAAGGGGAAGGGTAAGCTTACCATGGGAGAGGAGGAACGGGCAGCAAAGAGTGCATGCAAAGGCAGACGCGAGGAGCAGGAGGAGGAGAGCCGCGTGCCATGGGATTTCAATGGGGCAGAGGGTGAGAGGGAGGGGGGGGGGGGAGAGGGGGAGGAGGAGGAGGACGAGGAGGACGACGAGGAGGAGGGGGAGGGGGAGGGGGAGGGGGAGGGGGAGGGGGAGGACGACGACGACGACGACGATGAGGAGGTGTAGCGGTAGAAGGAAGAATAAGATAACAGGAGTAGGAGGAGTGGGAGTGACAGGAGGGGCTGCATGAGGATGCATGGGAGGAGGAGTAGGAGTAGGAGGAGAAAAGTGGGAAGGGCAGGAGGGGCTGCATGGGGGTGCATGGTAGAGGAAGCCTAGTAGTATGAGTAGGGGGAGTAGGAGTTTGGGCAGTAGGAGGAGCCGGAGGGGCTACAGGCGGGTGAGTGCATGGTAGGTGGAGGAGGAGGAGAGGAGGAGGAGGAGGACGGTCATACCTCGTTTTAGGGACTTATCTTGGACGATGTTGCCACTAGCAGTCGTAGCTAGATGCCCCTTTTTGTTTAGGCAGTTAAAAAAAAAATCCTGCAACAAAAAATCCCTCTAACAAAAATTCGGCGTTTTTTTCCCAAAATCACCGAAAAAAACCATCGAAACATACCATCGAAAAAAACGTCCTGCCGCAATTTTGCACCTTGACGTGAGGAGTGAGCGGCGAGAAAGAGGGGTGAGAGGGAGGAGCTGGAGTGTCAAGTGACATTAGTGCGGGCTGCATGCTGGACCCGAAGTTGATGAGATCTAAGAAGTACGATATGGAGGCCACCACTTGCTGCAAAGAATAAGGACATGCCATCAAACCGAGGATGGGAAGAATGAGCTGCGCTGCATGCTGCCAGGCTCCAGTAAAAGAAGAGCCCGGGAGGCTGGGGTTGCCTTTGAGTCAAGTCAGAAGCTGCATACCTCCAGTGGAAAGCAGAGCGTGCGGATCGGACCTGCCTCCTGATCACTTGCCTCCTATTCCCCTTCCTCCCAATCACCTGCCTCCTATTCATCTGCCTGCGAATCACTTGCCTGCTAATGACCTGCCTGCTAATCACCTGCCTGCTAATCACCAGCCGCTCGATCACCTGCCTTATCAAGCGCTGCAGAGAGCCATGCTGCGAGAGCTCGCTTGCTCACGCCTACAGCCAAAAACCCTTCCACCTGGCAGGAGAGAACAGCGGAATGCAAGGGACGCTGGGATGGGTGAAGCCGTGCATCGATTGGGCCAACTGTGCGGCTCATGCCCACCACCACAAACCCTTCCACCTGACAGGAGCGGAGCAGCAGAGTGAAGCAGGGATGGGGGAAAACGTGCATAGAATTGACAGCTTGTGCAGTTCACCGCCGTGGCAAAAACCATATCACCTGACTGACAGGGGATGACTCGGATGACTCACTTGGCCATGGGCAGGAAGCTACGTTGAAAAAATCGCTCATTCGGGCGTGCACTTTGCGATAAACCACACAATATGATGTGGTTTACCCCCCCAAATCCCCAGTTTTCTCCGCCTGCCCACAAGGATTTTTACCTGCCTGACCATGCGGTTTTGAAGCGCATTTCCTACTCCCCCTCCAGCGGATTGCGCTTAACTGCAAGCGTACAAACCACAAACCACGGATTTTCCAAATTAGGCAGGTAGGCCGGCCACTCGAGTGTGCTTTTCTCTCACCAGCGTGTGTGGCAGGGCACGAACAAGCCGACTTACCGGCACACATGACAGTAGCTCCCTGGCAGCTAGCTGCACGGCATCCATCCTCGAGTGACCGACTAGCATCCATGCTCCACAACGCGCATCCATTCGTTTGTGACTGCATGCATTCACTCGACTCACCGGCACGTGAGGCAGCAGCTCCCTGGCAGCCAGCTGCCACGGCATCCATGCCTCGGATGACCGACTTGGCCATGGGCAGGAAGATGGGCCACTCGGGGGTGGTGGGGTCGTGAAAGGCCATGGCCAGGGTGACTGATGGGACATGGAAGGGGAGCGTGACTGATGGGACATGGAAGGGGAGCGTGACTGTTGCGACATGGAAGGGGAGCGTGACTGTTGGAAGACTGAGCCGGCTAGAGACAAGCGCTAAGGGTGTGCACTCAAGACCTCACATTCTCTCGTGCTCCCACAGGAACTCATGCTCCCACAGGCTCTCATGCTCCCACGTGCTCTCATGCTCCCACATGCATGCATGCAGGGAGCTGCTCCTCTATCATGCCCTGACCTGACACTACTGCTCCCTGGTGAATTTGTTCGAGAAGTTTCCCTCTCATGAAATCATGCCCTCACATGCTCTCATGCCCTCACATGCTCTCATGCCCTCACATGCTCTCATGCCCTCACATGCTCTCATGCCCTCACATGCTCTCATGCCCTCACATGCTCTCATGCCCTCACATGCTCTCATGCCCTCACATGCACTCATGCCCCCATGCTCTGATGCCCTCTCGTGCACGCATGCCCTCACGTGCTCCCGTGCGCTCACATGCAGGGAGCTCCTCCTCTATCAAGCGTTGGCTGCTGACACCAGGAGGGCTGGAGTAGAAGCTGATGGGCATCATGGGTATTTCGTGGAGCATCACGCCGAGTATGCCCAGATCCACCACCATGCTGCATGTGGGGCATGAAAGAAGGGGTCGCCGTGAAAGAAGGGGTCGCCGTGAAAGAAGGGGTCGCCGTGAGAAGCGGGCAGAAGGAAGGAACAGAAGCTGATGGGCGCCGTTGCCTCTGCGTGGTGCATCACGCCTAGGATGCCCAGATCCACTAACATGCTGCAAAAGTGGGACATGGGAAAAGGGGTCAACATATTCATCTATCGCGGAGCTGATGGGCGTCATGGGCTCCTCCTGCAGAGGTGACTTTTGAGTCGACTCAAAAGTCACCTCATGGGCTTTTGAGTCGACTCAAAAGTCACCTCATGGGCTTCCTGCGGCAGCATCACGCCCAGGAGTCCCACATCCGCCCGCCACCATGCAGCATGCTGGATGGACGGTTGGCTGGACCCTGAGCTCATGCCTATGGTGCATCATGACTCCCAGATAGCCTTGATTAACCACCCAGACTGGCGCCACCACACTGCCACACTCACACTCTAGCCCCCACGGAATATCTAACCGCTATGCACACTCTAACCCTCTGGAGAATGTAACCCCCACACACAGTCACTCACGGGGCAGCAACGCGGATGAAGACGTCGCTACTTTTGGGAACGCGGACGGCCCTCTCCCATCTGCGCGGGGTGTTCCACCCCGCCCCCACGAAGAACAGCACTAGACCCTTGCTGGCGTTCCGCATGTCGTCTGGCGCCTGATGGGAGAAAAGGTGGGGAGGCGTGGGAGGGGAGGGCGAGTATGCCTAGCTGCTGTGGTCACTCCACCCAGCCTCAACGAAGAAGAGCATGCGGCCCTTGCTGGCCGTCAACGTTTCGTCTGGCGCCTGGCAGGAGATGAGGAGGGGCAAAGAGAGTCATATATGGATGATGACATTACTTTGGATGCCGAGATGAGCATGGATGGATTGGACTCGCAGTAGGTTGGAAGACAAAACTCCATTGCTTCATTCACTCGGAGGACGACTTCAGCTGATCCTTATGCTGACCAACTGTCGTGTAACATGCCTGAGATGTGAACGTGCACTTCCGCTGCGCCCTTCTGGTAACCTCGTTTTTGACCCAGTGGGTAGCGTAGCGAGGCGTCATACTGGAATCAGAGCCTAGGGTTCGAATGTCAAGTGGTCAAATTTTCCACTAGATGCGAGAAATTGAATGTGGTAACCAGTTGCGAATCCAGCGAACAATCCTAGCCGCTGGCCTAGTCCACCAGCAAAGTCGCTGACTTGGGACTCCAGCGAAATCTGAAGTCCTTGTGGGGGCGGACTCCCTGAGCCAACGAGGACGTTGGCGCCAGAGGGGGACGAGAGTAACGTACGTGAGATGTGAACGTGTGATTCCGCTGCGCCCCTCTCGTGTTGACTTGACACATTGAGCGCGGTGTGGTGCGGCTATGCCTGCCAAGCACAGCATGGCTCTACTAGGCAGACACAAGGCCAGTCTGTCAGTACCCGTGCTCACAATAAGCGTCAGGTGGTGCCACCAAACGGATCTGTCTGTAACGGATTCGTTGAGCCACCGCAGGGTTGTCACCAGCAGCACATACCCCGTCCACCACCCCCCCCGCTCCTTGGCTCGCATGCGGTTACCCGTGTCCTCCCAGCTGTCAACAGCGGCACAGAGAGCAGTAGGGAGGGGAGAGGGCAGTCAGCAAGATGGTTTGTCACCAGCAGCACACTCCCCGTCCACCAGCCCCCTGGCTCCTTGGCCTCGCATGCGGTTACCCGTTTAGTTTTCTTTTCTTCTCTTTTTTGTTAATAAGGAAACCATACATTATACAGACAATGTAGGGCAACCTCAGTTGCAAGTGTTTCGTGGGGGCCTAGGTATGATGCGGTTACTCGGGTCCTCCCAGCTGTGCACACACATATTGAACGATTAATACTACTACAACGAGTTAGTGCAATAGGGATGGACTTGTTTTTTGCTAAGAACAAAATGCAGCTTGCGACTGGCCTCACCTAAATTCCGCATCCGCGGTATAAACATATTCATCCAGCAACGTGCCGCTACAGTTCCGCCCCGTTTCGCACACGTTTGGAGGGAAAGAGGACGGTCCAACGGACCTTCCTCGACCGGAATCCCGGAAATAATCTCGAAAAAGCAGGCCGCGGGCGCTACTAGGCTGGACTTCGAAAAACGCAAAATAAGCGAAGACGGTAGCAGTAAGCGCCGCAGCAGCGACGAGTGGAAGCAGAATGCCGCCGCGACGGCTAAGATCCGCCTGAATGCTATGCCTTACTATTGAAATGCGGCTCGTAATACCAGACCCTGAGGGAGGCCGTGTGCCGGACATGATGAGCTGCGTGCTTACTGCTACCAGCTTAGTAGGTTTTTAACCTGCATCCCGTGGACCATAGCACCATAAGATCCTTGGGAGCACCACAGCGCGGAGTCGTCGCAGCGGCGACGTTCCAGTGGATTCAGGTAGTATGGAGAGCACTAGTACGTGTACCAGGCATTAATCTGCAAACCACAGACTGTACTGCGTCTCCCCTGGGGTGCATTCCGCACCTGGACTGGTAATGCTGGTGACACATTCTCTCGCCCTCTGCTGCACCTTGCTAAGCTGGATGAAGGGCCCCGACCTGCGGGGCGAGATACTGAGTGTTGGGGGATGCCCTCATGATGATTGGTTCATATCTGACGGACAACGCAAGCGAGGAAAACACGTGAATCAAAGTGACCAATTCGAATCTGCGAACGGCAAACCTCCGCGATCGAGAAGAATGTCGAAAGCCAGGCAGGCAATGGTGCGACCAACGGGAGGCTGCCGAGGTGGTGTGGAAAAATAAGGGTCTGACCACGTCTCTGACGCGTGTCTGAAGGACCGGCCTGGAATAAAAACTCGTATTACTCCAGAAACCCATTATTCGTATAAGCCCTCGCAATGTGAAGTTCGATAAACAATAAAATCGTGCAAGGTATATGTATATGCAGTGCACTTCTTGTAGCTTGGTTCCTGATGTCCTTAGGAAAGCCAAATACCACATCACGTATGGGAGGACCTGCCTTAACCCACCTCGCCGTCTTCCGGCAAATAACAGAAGCCGTTTCTGCGAGCTACAGGAGAGGACAATCAGCCCCCACCCCACCCACGGCCGATTTTGCACTGCTACCTCTGGCTCTGCAGCAGCCCCCCACCCCACCCACAGCCTCAAGGGGGGGGGGGGATGGGAGGGGGTCGGCTTGTACCCCATCGCCCTACCCAACTCTCACAGCTGCCCCAAAGCCGGCTGCCCGTCAGCAAAAGCAAGCTACCTACAGGAGGAACGAAAACGGCCAGCAGCACCAAGCTACCTTTGCCCGGCACCAGCCCCCGCCCCACCCACGGCCTCAGCGGGGGGCGGAGGGGGCTTGTACCCCATCTTCCTGCCCAGCTCTGAGAGCTGCTCCACAAACTGGCTCCCTGCCAGCATCTCAGTCGTCCCATACACCACCGTGCGCACCCCCGCCGCCCCGCCCCCGGCCCCTGCTTTCCTCGCCATCTCCTGCAACCCCCCGTACTCCATATAGTTCCCTCCCCCAATCACGAACACTATCGCGTCCCTCACTGCCCCTCTGCTGCCCCCTGCTGCCGTGCTGCTGCTGCCCCCCTTGGGGGCCTTGGGGTCCAGGCAGAGAAAGGAATCTGTATCCTGCCGGGGCGCCCTTCCATCAGAGCTTCAACTGCCCGGGTCAGCTGCAGCTGCCTGCCCCCAGCCAAAAAGATTCTTTACACCTGCGGTCACGCGGGACAAACTCTGCCCAGCCAGCCGGCCGGCCCAATCCAGCAGATCGTCCTTGCTGCCCGCCATGCCCCCAACGCCCCCCCTCCTCCTCCCCACCCCCCGCCGCAGCCACCGCAGCAAAGCTGGAGTTGACCCGCTTCACCTGCTTGATATAATGCAGAGCGGCTAGATCCACCCCCTGCTCCCTCAGCGCCGCTTCAACCGCCTCCACATCCCCCGCACTCGCATTGTCCGTCGCCATCAGGTAGATAATCGCCAGGCGTAGCTTATCCTCCCTGGACCCCCGCTTCCGGAGTAAGTCGAGCATCGCCGCCCGGTCGGTGCTGCCCCGGGTGAGCAGGTCTTCCTCCATGGAGAAGTAGGCGTCGAGCGCACGCGACTTGATCTCCTCCAGGAGTGTGCCGCCGATGGTGACGTGCTTGTCGATGACGCGCTTGCGCTCCATCAGCTGTGGCACCGCGCTCATGGCGGCCGACAGCTGCTTGGTGCGCCCCATCAGGTCCTCGTCCTCTGCCTCGGAGAATGCATCGCCTGTGGGGGAGGCTGCGTTGACCTGTTCTTTGTCTTGGGTCCACTTCTTGAGTAACATGTCGACCTGAAGAGGGGGGGAACAGGGGATGTTGGAGGGTTGGCAGTCAAGCGGGGTGCGAATGACCCGCTTTTTTATGACCCGCTTGCGCTCCATCAACTGCGGCACGGCGCTCATGGGAAACACATGTTTGTCGAAGACTTGCCTTCGCTCCATCGGATGTGGCGTGGCACGGCGCTGGGCTCACAGCCGCCTGAAAGGAAGGGGATGCAGGGGATCGGGGCGAAAGAGATATGAAAGAGATATGAAAGAGATATGAAAGAGATATGAAAGTATGGCACACCCCTCAAGGCTGCGCAGAGCTGCCTTCTGCACTTGATCAGGTCGCCGTCCTCCCCTGCCTCGGGAAAGGCGTCCCCTGTGGGGCTTGCTGCGTTGACCTTCTCCATGCCCTGCACCCACTTCTTTGGGAGCATGTCGACCTGGCGTAGGGGAGAAACGGGGGCGGGAAATTGAGACGCAAGGGCTCGAGAACAAAGGAATCAACCAAACAGTGCTGCACTTGCTCCTGGTCATGGACCCACTCGTTGAGTGGAGGGCCATTTCCACCTGGGGGAGCAGAGCGAGGTGAACGAAGGGACAGCAAGGAAGCAGGAGCGGAGGAGGGAGGCGAACCAAGGCACACTGGGGATTCAATTTCCCCACATGAATTCCAACCATGCCGAACCTTCATCCAGATCACAGCACTGCATTCAACCCCACTCCACCGCACTCACCGCCTCTGCCGCCTTAGGAAACGGCGACTCTGAATGCGCCACCCAGAAGCTATCCGAATCATCAAGCTCATAACTAGTCGCCTTGCCAGCCACCGCCCCCACCAGCGCCCTTCAGCACCGGAGACAGCGGCCCGCTCCCGGCCCCCGCTCCTCCCCCAGCGCCTCCCTTGTGGATGCTCACTCGGTTGAGCTTCATCCCCAGCACGTCGTGCACCAACGGCCGGTACGTCCACTCGTGCTGCACCCCCACCGCCAGCTCGAAGTTCCTATCCGCTATGAATAGCAACGGCCGCTGGAACAGCCCCAGAGCCCCCCCCACCCCCCTCCCCCTGCTCCACCCCCCGCTCCCCCTCCCCCCGACGCCACCGCTGCTGCTCCTGCTGCTAGCGCCCCAGCCGCTGCTTCCTTGAAGAGGTTGTTATGCGTGGCGAGGTGCGCCCTTAGCTTGGCGTCCAGCTGCCTGGCCACCATCTCAGCCGGCCCTCTCTCGGGGCACCGAATCACCGGCACCACCCCCAGCGTCACCAGCACGCAGAACAGCCCGTTAACAATACTCTCCACCGCCCCCTCCACGTCCTTATCCTTTGCCATTGGGTCGTTCAACCGCACATAACTCTCGGGCTGCCCGAGCGAAAACAACCCGTGGTCAAGACACACAAACTCGGAGTACTGGTCAAAGACCCGCGCCACGCGGTGCAGAGCGTTGGCTTTAAGAGTGCCCGCAGCCAGGTCCTCCAGGAGCAGGCGCGGCACGGAGGCGGTGAAGTTGAGGTGCATCTTGTCGTACGTGCCGCGGGTGGCGTCCTGGATGACCCGCTGGATATTGCCCGGGGTGGCTTGTACGAAATAGACAGCTGGCACATCAGGAATGGGCTGGCGGTCGGCGTCGACCATCAGGTGCAGGGTGATGCCATGCTTTCGCAGATCGGACACCTGAGAGGAGGGGAGAGGGGAGGGGTGGCACAGAGGGGGGCATGTCAGGGATGGGCTGCCTGCCGACTTCAACCATCAGGAATGGGCTGGCAGTCCGCGTCGACCATCAGGTGCAGGGTGGTGCCGTGCTTGCGCAGGTCAGAGACCTGAAGGGAGGGAGGTAGCAGAGGGGAGCACGAGTGGGGGCAGAGGGGTGGAGAGGGGGGGAGGGAGGGAAAGAGAAGGGGAGGGGAGGGAAAGAGAAGGGGAGGGGAGGGAAAGGGAGGGAAGGGGAACGCAGCAGGTGCACGGAGGCAGTGAAGTTGAGGAGCATATTGTTGTAGGCGACGCGGGTGGCGTCCTGAGTGTCCCGCTGGATGTTGCCCGGGGTGGCCTGCAGGATGTAGACGGCCGGCATGCCGGGGATGGGCTGCCTGCCGGGGTGGCCGTGCTTGCGGAGGTCAGAGACCTCAAGGGAGGGCAGTGGAAGGGGAGAGAGGGAATCTGGATGACTTGCTGGATGTTGCCCGGAGCGGCCTGTACGAAGAAGACCGCTGGCACGCGAGGGATGGGCTGGCAATCGGCGGTCACCATGAGGTGCAGGGTGATGCCGTGCGTGCGCAGGTCAGATATCTGTAGGACGAACAAAGGGCGCGGAGGGAAAGAGGAAGTAGACGGCTGGCACGTTAGGGATGGGCTGGCTATCGGCGGCCAGCATCAAGTGGGGCGTGATGCCATGCGTTCGCAGATCGGATTCCTGAGAGGTGGAAGGTAAGGAAGGAGAGGGATGGATGTAGACCGCTTAGCGTACAGCAGTTGATGTCTCACCTTGAGCACCGAGCCTCGCCTTGAGCAGAGAAGAGATGAAGTGTGTGGAGTACTTGCCCAGCAGCACCTTGTGCTCGCCACCGACTGAAGCGGAAGATGAGGACTCGCCTTGTTACCTGAGCTCACCTCAAGACACCCAGGACTCACCTTTAGAAGTGGCGATATGAGGTCTCTGGAGGAATTGCCAAGCAGCAGCACCTTGTACATGCCACCTTCTGAAAGTAGATATGAGATAACACAATCACATTCGCTCTTTAATGCCACCTTCAGTAGCGGCGAAAGGAGGTCTCACCTTAAGCAGCGGCGAGATGAGGTCTCGGGAGTATTTATCCAGCAGCAGCACTTTGTACACGTCACCGTCTGACGTGGAAGGGCCGCCCATCGTGACTGTAACGGGGCTGTTGAGATTGAGCATGCGAATGATGGTGTCTGGTGTCGTGAAGGGTGGGGAGGGGTGAGGAGGGGTGAGGAGGGGTGAGGAGGGGTGGGTAAGGGTAAGCGATGGCAACAAGGCGAGGGGCATGTGATGGGGAGTGGCGTGCGGAGGTGTCTAGCGGCAGGCGGCGTTGTCCAGCGGCCGGTGATGGCCGAATGGCATGTATTGCTCGACTAAGAGAGCACGGAAGCACGCCACGGGGGATGCGAGCGGAACGATCGTTACTAGGTCACGATACCTACGAGGTTACGAGGTTACGACGTTACGAGGTTACGAGGTCACGAGGTCACGAGGTTACGAGGTTGCTATCGCTCGCCAGAATGAACCAACGATACGAACTATGGCCACGCGTGACTAATTCCCCCTAGCACAGCGTGAACCAACGATACCGTCTAATTATGGCCACGTGCAACTATTTCTACGTGTAGCGCAGCGTGAATCTGACTTTCGAGTCGACGCAAAAGTCACCTTGAACCAACGATACCGTCTAGCTATGGCAACTCATTCCACCTATCACAGCGTCAATCTGGCGACGGCAAGCATTGGCGAAACGCCACTCTCCAATCACGAGCCAGCGAAAAGTTTTCAATCAGCGCGACTCGGCAGGTGCGACTCACATCGAGTCCCCACTGCGATCTCTCACCTCTCAGTGAAATCCATGATGTGAACAAACCAAGAGCCCCCTTGCTCTCACCTCACAGTAAGGCCCATGTGAACAAACCAAGAGCCCCCTAGCTCTCACCTCACAGTAAGGCCCATGTGAACAAACCAAGAGCCCCCTAGCTCTCACCTCACAGTAAGGCCCATGTGAACAAAACCATGTGAACAGCTCAGGAGCCCCCTAGCTCTCACCTCACAGTGAAATCCACGTGAACGGCCCAAGACCCCGCCACCCCTCACCTATCTGCTTCTGGCGCAGCGAGAGCGCCATGGCGACGCCTCTCTGCTGGCAAGCCCAAGGCCGAACAGAATCGAAGTCTAGAAAACCAGGACGCGGATATGCGCGGATTCTTGCAATACACTACGACGTGATGACTGTACGTATTGTAAGGACCGTAAGGACTGACGCGCGCCAAACACGCTCGCCGCTTCCCCTTCACTGATACTACAGGTCCGAGAATCAATGGCTGATCGGCTAATAGTGCTAAGCAATCCTTATCAATCGCCGATCGGAGCTCGTTATCAGCGCAGTCCTTTGAGAGACGCTCCTCCAGTTTCCGGAGCTCCTTCGCCCGGATGGGGAGATGGACGAAAGCGAGCGGAGAGCGAAAGCGAAGGAACCTAGGATACCAAGGAGCGACTCTCTGAAAACGTTGGATCGAATAATAATCGGCAAATCCCGAGGAGAGTGTTCAGGAGTCCACGAACGACGGAGATCCGAACAGAGTGGGTCTTGAAATTGCTTTCCCGCTAACGCACTCAACCGATAGGCCCGTGCCGTGAATCCGGGTCAACTCTGACACTCCGCATTCGCGTTAGTAGAGTTCCCGGCGTTGAAATCCACATCAGGCACCACCAGTTCCAGCTCTCCTCTACTTCTATTTCAGTAAAGTCCCAAACGCAACAAACGTTTGCACATAAGGTATGGCTTTGGGGATGCTATGACTTTTTTCCACAAAAGAGGAAAAAAGAAAACTTGGCACCAAGTTCCACTCAAAGCATTCGGTAAGCATTGTGGCATTCCCATCTTTGCAGGCCGCAATTTAAAGGCAATTCTAGTATTACAAGACTACGTGAAGTGGGTCAAGCAAAGTTGTGGTATTACATGGGGCAAAGGGAAGCGTGTTTGGCGCTATCATGGCTTCCGTGGTGAGAATGAAAGGTTTGTGGAAGGGCCCATGCCTGAAATCGGCTTCAATAAATAATGCTCGATAGCCCACCTGCGCAGGAGAGCATACGTGGAATGAAGACGGGATGACGGGGTTCAGAAGAAGCAAGCGAATGGGGAGAGGAAAAAGGCGGGGTGGGAAGAGGAAATTGTAACAACAAAGTGCTCCAAACATCCTGCGACTGTGGTGCTCCGTCCATTATTAAAACAAACACTCACATGGTGCTCTACAGCCCCATGAGCATTAACCTGAGCACCAAAATTCACTTCACTCACCTTGGGAATGTCTTGGATTGTGGAGCTGAAGTGCCAGAGGCCATCCCCTTGCGCTGTAGGCGGTGTGACTGGGTGCAGGAGGAACGGAATGGGCTGCATGCACAGTGTGCCAAACTTCGCCACATAGTCGGGAGGCGAACTCTTGAAGGGAACAGTGCTGAAGCGGGGGAGAGCAGGGAGAATGGAAGGAAAACGAGTACTGAGGAACCAGCGTGTAATGAGTCGATTTTTGAGTCGACTCATTACACACTGAGGAAACCTCAAGAAGAGATTGTTGACAGGAACAGCGCTGGAGAGCGGGCAGGCAGGGAGAATGAGGAGCCGGAGAAGGAATCTGTTGGAGTTGAATGGGGAGGTGAGGGTGGAAGATATGCCACTCATCAAGCATACATCGCTCACAGACAGACAGACCCCCTACCACGTACAAGAACTATTATGAGGCCCCTCAAAAAGATATACCACTCAGCAAACGTACATACATCACATACAAAAGACCCCTTACCAAGTACAACACCACATGCACATGACCCGCCTACCAAGTTCACAATACTGGAGACTAGACAGATTGTATACAAGAACAAAGACTTCTCTGCCATGCACTCACCACCCTGTGAGCCCCTGCTTCACTATGAACCGGAAATCCCTGCGCTTACTGCCAAGAATGGTGCGTCCCGTCCTGCCAGGGGAGAGAAAGCAGAGGCGAATGGAACGAGTTGAATGGAAGAGAGCTCTGACAGAGGCCAAAGAAGGAGGCTCTCGGTGCTCATGGCCAAAAACGGGGCGCCGTGTGCTGGCACGCAGGAGAGGGCCAAAAGGGATTCTGGAGGCGGTGGGCAAAAAAGGATGCACAGAGATGGGCTTGTGTTTTGTGGCACTGAGGTGGCTCACACACACCGACGTGGCTCTCACACACCGACGTGGCTTACACACACCGACGCGGCTCTCACACACCGACGTGGCTCACACACACCGACATGGCTCACACACACCGACGTGGCTCACACACACCGACGTGGCTCACACACACTGAGGTGGGCCTCCACCTTCCACTCCGACAGGCCCCTCTTCCCCCACTCTCTCCCTCTTTCCCC